GGGGAGTCGCTGGGCCGCGTCTGAGCGATATGTACGGCAGAGGTTTCTGCAGGGCTCCCCGCTTTCCGCGCGGGAAGGAGAGAGCCGTTTCGGCTCCGTCCCGCTCTTCTGCTGGCAAGGGGCGTCCGGGGTGCCGAGCCCGGTGTCGCGTGTGTTTTTCCCGAGTGTCGGCAGCGGTCACGCACGGCGAGGGATGAGGCCGCTGTGAGGGGACCGCCCTGGGAGCTTGTGTGAAACCGCCCTGCCGTCCCCGCCGGCCTGCGAGCTTCGTGGGGCGAAGCCAAGCGCGCCTCTCTTTTTTTTTTTTTTTTTTTTTGCTGTTGTTTTGGCACCTCAGGCTTCCGACGGAAGGACTCGTCGGAGGCTGCGAGACGTGGAGTGCGAGGTGAAAGCCGTGGAGCCCAGTCAGAGCTGTTTCTTCCCGAGATGCAGAAGGCAGCGTTGGGACAGGCTGGGGTGCCGTTCCCCTGCCTAGCTGTAGACCTCCAGCTTGCCTTTCCCGGTTTGAGGAGTGGCTCCTGATGCTGTCTGTCGGCTGCATCTGGGTGGCTTTGGCTCGCTGGTGTTTGCCTTCTGGGTGGCAGAGCTGAAACGGTTGCCAAAACGTCGGTAACTTAATTGTTTGAACTGCCGGTACCAACAGCATCTCGGTAATGGTCACGTAAGGGTACCTCCCTACCCTGTTGTTCCTTCACACAGAAAAAGCCGACAGGGGGTTAGGTCTGTAAGTGGCTTACACTATTTTCTGTGGTTTTCAAGGGCAGGCAAGGGTACTACAGGGGGCGATGACTGCTAGGGAAGAAGGGGGGCGGCGGTGGCAACGGTGGCGGTGGTGGGAGAAGCAACGGGAATGTTTTTTCTCCCCCCGAATGTTTTCTTTTTCGTGTAATCTTCCTAAAATCTTCATATATGCCGCATCTGATTACTGAAATAGAAAACAGCCATGTAATGCAATGACAGCATGTAGAAGGTTCTCACTTTATGACTTCTGAATTCTGTTTTGAGGCTTTTTTGCCTCAGACAAGGACCTGCTTTGTGTTTTACTAGCAGAAAGAGACAGTGCCCAGCTCACAAGTCAAAGCTGGCTGGGAAGAGAGGAGGGAGGGGTGCTGATTATCCAGGAAAACACTGGAATCCAGCCACAACTGATTCCATGTTTGCAGGGAAACTGTTAGAGAAGCCCTGTAGAAGCCCTCCTGGAAATGGGGGCTAGCTGTGGCTGGATATTTGTTTCGGACCCCTGGATCACTTCTTTCTTTGCTCTTCTTAAGCAGAAGCGTGTTTAGTTGGCAGCACCGATACTACGTATTTAATGCTAGGATGCTTTTGCCACCTTGCATTGCACGGGTCTATGTATTGCACTAACATGGTGCTATTGACTTTCAGCTCCAAACTGCAAGCTCGGAGCAGCTAGTCATGGTGAATTGGTATTGCCGTCGTAACAGAGGAAGGCATGTCTCAAACTTTTGTAGCGTTGGACTGAGACCCTTCTAGTTTATGTGCACTATTTGCAGCGGAAGGCAAAGTCATCTGTAAATACTAATCGAGAATGGAGAAGAGGGAGAGAGTTTGCAAACAGATTGCCTTTGTTCTTTTGTCTTAGAGCATTCCCAGACTGTTGTGTCTTGAAGAAACAATGGTGTATTTCAATGGCATTAGAAATCAGCAACATAATGTGTAGTACTGGACTTAGAGAGGCCGGCTGTGAGGAGCAAGGATCCATGTGAGAAACAGCCATGATGAGGGTTTAAAATACCTGTCTTCTTTTCAGCCATTTAAAGTTTTGGCAACTGAAGCTATCACCGGGAAGGCATTAGAGGCAGATATATACAATGCAATCCCTACTGAAAAGGTGGATGGAACCTGCTGTTACGTAACTACCTATAAAGGTAATAAAGAAGATCTGTATGCAGATTTCTTATGTTGGCTAGAAGCCTTGTTTTACTTTGTTTTCACTTTTATT